AGTCAGAGACAGATGCTGGAAGACCTTGAATATTCTCCTAACTGGGACCCACAGAACAGCGAGGCCACTATAGGCCACTGATGAAAGTGTATTTCAGGTGACTAATTTTCCAGTATTGGGTGGGATGTTTTGAAGGAAGAGCAATTGGAGGCAGCACGGCCTGTTCTGAGGTTATTACCTGAACACTAAGAAGTAGTTTTTTTGGTCAATAGGAAATTGGGCAAGATGCCAATCATGAGAACAGGAAGGGACAAAAATCCCCCCAAGAGGGACATTTTTCGTCCTCCAGACGACAAAAGATGTACAGTGAATGCACCCATGCAGGGGGTGGGAGGGCAGCTCAGCAGAGAGAGCGGGGTTAGTGAGGGTGGGGACGAGCATGGGGTATGCAGGTAGCAGTGAAGACACCTGTCACAGGCAGTGTGGCCAGGGCTTACGGTGCTGGCTCCAGAGACAGGCTGCTGGGCTCAAATCTGAATCCACCACTTGCCATCTGAGTTTGGGCGAATCACATAATCTCTCTGCACCTGAGTTTTCCCATCTGCAAAATGGGGATATCAACACTTTCCACTCCACAGGGTTGTTATGAGAGCTAAATGAGATAATACGCATAAGTCGCTGAAACATTTAGATGTCAAATCAAGGCAAGTTCCCTATGTGAACATGACATTTAGATAATTTCCCATAAACTCAAGTTTGTTAGATTGTTTCCCATAAACTTACGTTAAAAAAAACAAACAAATTCACTGCCGTCAAGTCAATTCCAATTCATAGTGAGCCCACAGGGTTTCCAACACGGTAAATCTCTATGGAAGCAGACTGCCACTTCTTTCTCCCACAGTGGTTTCAAACTGCCAACCTTTCGAGTTAGCAGTTGATCGCTTTAACCACTGGGTCACGAGGGAAATTTAAGTAAAGTACCATATATAAATTCAGATTCATATTCACAAGAGAGAAATTTTAAATTTCCAGTGTGATATTTTGCTATTTGAAAAGAAGTATTTTTCAGAAATGTAACCTATACCATTTAAGCCCTTAAGGTACATAAACCCCATTGCCAACAAGTCGATTCTGACTGATTGCGACCCTATAGGATAGGATAAAACTGCCCCAGAGGGTTTCCAAGGAGCGGCTGGTGGATTCGAACTGCCAACCATTTTGGTTAGCAGCTGAACACTTAACTACTGTGCCACCATAGTTAAATATTAACCCAACCAAAAAACCAGTTGTTGTCAAGTCGATTCCAATTCATGGTGATCCCAAATGTGTCAGAGCAGAACTGATCTCCATAGTTCTAGGCTGTAACCTTTTGGAAGCAGATTGCCAGGCTTGTCTTCCAAGGTGCCTCTGGGTGGGTTTGAACTGCCAACATTTTGGTTAGTAGTCAAGCATTTATCCATTGGTACCAGATGAAGACTCCTTGAAAGATGAAATTATTTAACTCTGTTAAGGTAATAAAGACTGGTGAATTCATGTTTGAGTAAGGGGTCCTCCCCTGAATTACCTTTTTTTTTTAACAGTAGAATCTTAACACTAATATCAAATACAACTTGACTTAACAATTTAGCACATCAGTACTTTCAAGATGGCAAAATGTCATCTTGGACAAAAATATCAAATTTGAATGCACATATTTTTAAACCCAAATAAAGCCTAGAGAAAAATAAATGTAAAATATGTAGGAAATAAAAATATTAAAAATAATGACCTGAAAAAATTTGGGAAATTCATAGGCCAATTTTAAAACTCAACACATTCTGTGTATTTTCTGATTCTTCCTAAATTCGTTACATGATTTGAATCTACCTATCATAATTTCCAAAGAAACATTACTTGTGAACTATGGGAAGCCATAGTCAAAGTTATTTACACATGTCCCCTAAATGGGATATGGTGTGAGTCATTTGAACTTTCTATTTCAATATGTTTCTAATTCACTCTTTATATATACAATCTGCCCTCCATATCTGTGGGTTCTGCATCTGCAGATTCAACCAATCCTGGATGGAAAATATTCGGGGGGTGGGGGAAGAAAGTTCCAAAAAGCAAAACTTGAATTTTTGGCGCTCCGCATTGCACTGAATGCACACTAATAAAGTGATGTGTAGCTATCCCCGGCTGTAGCCTCCCATCATCACACAGATCCTCAGTCTCTCTCCAGCACTCAATGTTTGAGCATTGTTTGTCTCTCAGCTTGTCATTTATTCCCTAAACAATACAGGATAACAACTATTTACATGTAAATACTTGCATATTTACAACTATTTGCATATAATCTATTTGCAAATCATCTAATTTGCATAGATTATATGCAAATACTACGCCATTTTATATAAGGGACTTGAGCATGTGTGGATTTTGGTATCCACGAGGGGACCTGGAACCAATCCCCCACGGATAGCGCGGGATGACTATACTTCAAATCAACCTGTCTACAAATAGGGAAGGGAAAGGAAAATGAGGAAATTATTTTAAAAGATTAAAAATTCTCACAGTTAAAAGTAAGATATGTCTTAACTCCTCTGGGGAAGTGTTTTGATGTCCCCTAAACGGTAGATGGTATAAGTCACTTAACTTTCTATTTCAATATATATGTCTCACTTTTTATATATAATTCAAAACAACCCTGTCTACAATTAGAGAAGGAAAAGAAAAATGAGGAAATTATTTTAAAAGATTAAAAAACTTCATGGTTAAAAGCAAAACCTGTCTTTACTGTTCTGGGGAAGTGTTTTGATGTCACTACTTGGGAAGACTAAGGGTTTGGATTACAACAGGTCAATTCTCAAGACATTTATTTCCCTTCTTGTTTCTTCCTCTTCCTAATTCCGGTATTCTATACACATTCCCATGATCTAGCTGAAAGAGAAATTCATCTGAGAACTAAAGTCTGATCTTAGCTTCATTTACTGTGTGAATGTTACCTTAGCAAGTACCTAAGCATCTTTATATTTTTGTCTTTTATTGAGATAATAAATTTTTCTTCCATAGGCTTTTTTTTTTCCCCATTTTGTCTAGAAATTCATCAGACATAATTAATTTGCATTACAGTAGAGGATCTAGACAAGGTAAAAATGGTTAAATTTTTTATTTGCCCTGATATAGCACCTTTCCTTTGTCTTCAAATTCCTAAGATGTTCTTTCCCAAATCCCATGTCTTGATTGATACCTTTAAAAATAGAGCCAAGGACCTGAGTCTACTTTTTAAGAATCTCCATCACATTCATGGGAAATTTATTTTGTTCACATTTTCTCATTTCCATTCAGATAAATGAGATGGATTCAACTGGTAGGGCTGACATTGGCCTTCTACCTAATAACATCCTATTTCTCACCTTGCTTCCGTCAGTCTAACGGATCTGTAATCACAAATAACCCAACACCCGAGACTGGAAGTAGGAACATGAGTAAACAGCATCAACTCAATACTCTAGTGTCCTCTTCACTGGCTTCTTATCGTTCTTTTCCACCTCCTGCAACCATATGAAAGTCTGATTTATCATAAAAAATTGTGAGGCTCCTAAATTAATGGAGGATTTATAAAATTTTTTAACTGTGTAAATTTTGATGAAAATTAATGTAAAACTGCCCAAACTATTATAGGGTTTTGATTAAAACAATTTAACTTGTAAGTTTAGATATGGTTTTAATTTTTATAGAATATAAATCACTGACCAATGGAGGTTCCAAATTTTGGGAGAGTGAGAGGTGAAAAGCACAGGATCCTGGAGATTCTCACACTCTAGTTAATCGGGAAGGCAGTGAGATATAGAAAGAACATCGGACTGGGAGCCTTGAATGTAAGTCACTTCAACTTTTTCCACCTCAGTCTCCTCATCTGTCAAAGGCTACATACAGTTACCCTTTGTGACCATCTACATTATTTTTACCTCAAGTCCCTTCTGTCTGCTTCTGATTTTTGCTTACTCACTCACTACCTAAAGAACGCTTCCCATAGATTCAATTTACATACCATGAAGGTGCCCAGTGCTTTTCTGATTCTGCTTCTGGACAGAACAAGCACAGGAGTGCAGTGATGCTAAGGGCTAACAAGCTCCCCTCCATCCTGCCACTGACATCTGTGGAGGAGGAGGGGGAGGAACTGATCAGAGAAAAAGGGGGGCCTCTACTAGATCTAAGAGAGCACTGAGTACCACACCTACTGTAGTTGTGCAAAATCAATGATCCACACAACCCAAATTACTATATATTCGTGTTTACTTATTTGTCAGGTTGGGTCTCTTTCAATTTTTACTCATTCAACAAATACTTACTAAGCTCCTAACATACACATGTGATGCTCAATAAATGTTAGATGAAGGGAAAATATTCAGAAGTCACATCAGCTCTCTAAAAACTATACATAAATCTTCATGCTCCTCTTCTTCTCCATTCCTGGCCCCACTTCTGCTCACATCACAGGTCACTAAATGCTCATATGAACAAGTCCTTAAGCTCAGTATGACATGGTCTGTGATTAATGCAAATGTCCATTCCACTAAGAGGTCACTGCCTCAGTCAACTAGTGTTGCTCTAACAGAAATACCACAAGTGGACGGCTTTAACTAAGAGAAGTTTTTTCTCTCACAGTCCAGTAGGCTACAAGTCCAAATTCAGGGCGTCAGCTCCAAGGGAACACTTTCTCTGTTGGCTCTAGAGGAAGGTCCATGTCATCAATCTTCCCTTGGTCTAGGAGCTTCTCTGCACAGGAACCTCAGGTCCAAAGGACACGCTCTGCTCTTGGCACTGCTTTCTTGGTGGTATGAGGTTCCCATGTGTCTCTGTTCGCTTCTCTCTTTTATATCTCAAAAGAGACTGGATTAAGACACCATCCAATCTTGTAGACCTCATCAGTATAACCTCATCATAGTGATAGAATTTACAACACATAAGGAAATCACATATAACCTCACAGTTATAAAGTTTACAACACATAAGGAAATCACATCAGATTACACAATCATACAATACTGGGAATCATGACCTACACATTTTGCGGGGGGGACATAATTCAATCCATGACAGTCACTTTTTTAAGCAGGTGCTCATCCTGCCTTAGTGGGTCTTCAGTCTCATCTGAGGATATGCCACAATGCTGATGCCTGCTATAGAGGACATAAGACCTCCAAGTCTAATGGTGCCAGAATTGGACTTATAGATCCCCGGCTGGCTCAGAGGGTTCACAATATCACCAAGGTTCTTCACAATGTCCAGGAGCAAGGGAGGATGGTTCTTCAGGGATCGGAATAAGAGAAGGAGAAAGGACTGGAACCATTCTGTTTCCTCATCTGCCACACTGTGCCCAGGAGGATTCTGGAATGGTGACTTCTCCTTCTTTGCCCTGTCGTGTGCAACCTGTTCCATCTGCAGGGAGATTTCATAGAGATCTCTGACCAGGCTCAGCAAGAGAAAATAATACTAGTGGTGGGCAGCCCACATTTGCCATTTCTCTTCGTTGATGCCAAAGGCAAGCCCTACGATTTTCGTCCAGAGGATGGTGTCATAGATGAAATAAACTACATGGTTTTAAGTTAGCTAATGTTAGGCATAAGCAGGGTACCAGGTCAGTGGCATGAATGCTCTGCTGAGTTGCCTGTATAGCATATACCACATTTCCTAGTCTGAACCATTTACAGTCAGTGCTTACACTGGACTTCAATTTCTTGAGCTTCATTACCACCTTCTCTTTGCCAGGTCCAGGCTCTAACAAATATCTAAGCAACATGCATGTGTACTGAGTGGTTCTGAAGAGTCGGTCCTGGCCTTGGGTCTGGTTGGTGAAGTGAGTGAAGGCATCCAAGGGGCCCAGCGCCAGGCCAAGGGTCGCGCCCACACCAGTCGTGGGCCCTCAGCACAGAGGCACCGTTCTCGTCCATGGGGAAGGGCTGATCCCAGCGGGGCCTGAGGGCCATAGGTTTACTTTTTAATCAACTTTATTGAGGTATAATTTATATACAATAAACTGCATCCATTCAAAATGTACAATTTGATGAGTTTTGGCCAACACGTACACTCATGAAAACACCACCAAAGTCAAAATATGGAACCCTGCTATCAACTCCAAAAATGTCCTTGTGCCCCTTTGCAGTCTGTCCCACCTTCTGTCCCTGTTCTAGGTAACTTCTGATCACCTTTTTATCGCTGTAAATTAGTACATATTTTCCAGAATATGATAAAAATGGAATCATACAGTATGTTCTTTTCAGAATCTGACTTCTTTAACTCAGCATAATCACGTTCAGATCCATCCATATTGTTGTGTACATCAGTGGTTCATCCCTTTTTTATTGCAGAGTAGCATTTCATCATAAGGAGCCCTGATGGCACAGTAGTTCAGCGCTCAGCTGCTAACCAAAGGGTTGGCAGTTCAAACCCACCAGCAGCTCTGTGGGAGAAAGATGTGGCAGTCTGCTTCCATGAAGATTACAGCCTTGGAAACCCTATGGGGCAGTTCTACTCTGTCCTGTAGAATCGCTATGAGTCAGAATCAACTCAACAGCAACAGGTTTGGAGTATTCCATCATACAGATATATCATAATTTGTTTATACTTTTCTCTGTTGATGGACAGTTTGGGTGTTTCAAGTTCTTGGCTGTTACAAATAAAGCTGCTATGGACTTTCTGTACAGGCCATTGTGTGGACATATGCTTCATTTCTCTTGGGTAAATACCTAGGAACAGTACAGTTTGGTCATGTAGTAAATATAGTTTTAACTTCATAAGATACTGTCAAAAGGATAATTCCCAAAGTGATTATACCATTTTACACTCCTATCAGCAGTGAATGAGAGTTCTACTTGTCCCACATTGTTGATAACACTTAGTATTGTCAGGTTTGCTTTGTTTTGTTTTAGCCATTCTAATGGGTATGTGGCGCAGTGATTCTAATGGGTATGTGGCACAGTGGTTAAAAGCCTGGCTGCTAACCAAAAAGTCAGCAGTTCACATTCACCAGCTGCTCCTTGGAAACCCTATGGGACAGTTCTAATCTGTTCTATAGGGTCGCTATGAGTTAGAATCGACTTGATGGCAATGGGTTTGTTTTTGTTTTTTTTTAAAAAAAAGAGGTATGTAGTAGCATCTCATTGTGGTTTAAATTTGCATTTCCCATTGACTAGTGGTGTTGAGGACAAGAGCCCTGGTGGCATAGTGGTTAAGAGCTCGGCTGCTGTCATGGATTGAGTTGTGTCCCCCAAAAGTATCTGTCAGCTTGGCTGGGTCATGATTCCCAGTATTGTGTGATTGTGTTATCTGACGTGATTTCCTTATGTGTTGTAAATTCTATCACTATGATGAGATTATATGTGATCTCCTTATGTGTTGTAAATTCTATCACTGTGATGAGGTTATACTGATGAGGTTGACAAAGTTAGTGTCTTAATGCAATCTCTTTTGAGATATAAAAGACAGAAGTGAGCAGAGACACTTGGGAACCTCATACCACCAAGAAAGCAGTGCTGGGAGCAGAGCGCATCCTTTGGACCTGAGGTTCCTGCACTGAGATGCTCCCAGACCAAGGAAAGACTGGTGACAAGGACCTTCCTCCAGAGCCGACAGAGAGAGAGACTTTTCCTGGACTTAAGCCCTGAATTTGGACTTGTAGCCTACTGGACTGTGTGAGAGAATAAAATTCTCTTTGCTAAACCCACCCACTTGTGGTATTTCTGTTGGAGCAGCACTAGCTGACTAAGACAGCTACTAACCAAAAGGTCAGCAGTTCAAATCCATCAGCTGCTCCTTGGAAACCCTATGGGGCAGTTCTACTCCGTCCTATAAAGTCGCTATGAGTCAGACATCAGACATGAAGAAAGCAAAATGTCATTAAAAAGATAGGAAAGAAAGAAAAGACCAAAATGGATGTTAGAGCAGACACTGAAACTTGCTCTTGAACGCAGAGTAGCTAAAGCGAATGGAAGAAATAATGAAGTAAAAGAGCTGAAGATTTCAAAGTGCACCCTGAGAAGACAAAGTGAAGTATTATAATGACATATGCAAAGACCTGGCAATAGAAAACCAAAGCGGAAGAACATGCTCAGCATTTCTCAAGCTGAAAGAACTGAAGAAAAAATTCAAGCCTCGAGTTGCAATACTGAAGGATTCTATGGGGAAAATACTAAATGACACAGGAAGCATCAAAAGAAGATGGAAAGAACACACAGAGTCACTGTGCTGAAAATAGCTGGTTGACGTTCAACCATTTCAGGAGGTAGCATATGATCAGGAACCAATGGTACTGAAGGAAGAAGTCCAAGCTGCACTGAAGGCAATGGTGAAAAACAAAGCTCCAGGAATTGATGGAACACCAACTGAGATATTTCAACAAATGGATGCGGCACTGGAAGTGCTCACTCATTTATGTCAAGAAATTTGGAAGACAGCTACCTGGTCAAATGACTGGAAGGGATCCATATTTACGCCTATTCCAAAGAAAGGTGATCCAGCCGAATGTGGAAATTATCAAACAATATCATTAATATCATATGCAAGTAAAATTTTTGCTGAAGATCATTCAAAAGCAGCTGTAGCAGTACATTCACAGGGAACTGCCAGAGATTCAAGCCAGATTCAGAAGAGGGTGTGGAATGAAGGATATTATTGCTGAAATCAGATGGATCCTGTCTGAAAGCAGAAAATACCAGAAAGATAGTTACCTGTGTTCTACGGACTGTGCAAAGGCATTTGACTGTGTGGATCATAACAAATTATGGATCACATTATTAAGAAACGGGAATTCTAGAACACTTAATTGTGCTCATGAGGAACCTGTACATAGATCAAGAGGCAGTTATTCTAATGGAACAGGGGATACTATGTGGTTTTAAGTCAGGAAAGGTGTGCATCAGGGTTGTATCCTTTCACCACACTTATTCAACCTGTATGCTGAGCAAATCATCTGAGAAGGTGGACTATACACAGAAGAATGAAGCATCAGGATTGGAGGAAGACTCATTAACAACCTGCGGTATGCAGATGACACAACCTTGCTTGCTGAAAGTGAAGAGGACTTGAAGCACTCACTGATGCAGATCAAAGACCACAGCCTTCAGCATAGGTTACACCTCAATATAAAGAAAACAAAAATCCTCACAACTGGACTAATAAGCAGCATCATGATAAACAGAGAAAAGATTGAAGTTGTCAAGGATTTCATTTTACTTGGATCCACAGTCAACACCCATGGAAGCAGC